CTATTTTTTTCCTTTCTTTATATTTTTCAGATATTTCAACGTACCCTGTGTTTTAAATATATTTCCTTTATCTATCGGAAAACTTCGATGACCACTTTATTTGGTAGTTGAGCCAGACTGATGAAGGCAAACAGTCCGAAGCACGAAAATGGTTGGATTGATATATCAATAAAAGGTTATAGCCAATATTCTGGAACAAAACCAAATCAACGTTTAGTTGATGCTAATTCCTCTGGACGGCACAAGAACGTTTAGTCACATCATCATGGGATGTTTCTTCTCTTTCAATAAAATTACATAGCTTCGAATATCTCTATCTCTTCAAGGTAGAGTACAGGAATAAATTCAGGTCTTGTGCTATAAAATCGGTCCATATACAAATCTTTATAATATAAATTTGAGGGAGGATGGTATATTCATGTTTCAAAAGAAGCATCTCCCTCTTTAATATTTTTTTTAAAACGCCTTCTTGTTTATAAATCCAGTATAGAATGTACTTCTTCCTTCACCATGTTTTTTCGTTTAATAGAATGTACTGTTGTTAATGATAAAGAATGTGCCTCGACACCAACCATGGTATATAGGTTGTTGAAACTGGTATTGTGTCAGGCTCATCAACAGTATGGGGTATACTGGAGGGGTGATAAACAAAAGGCATTGTTTTTATGCATTTTTGAAGGAAGCGGTGCACATATTTTGATACAAAAATATACATGTGAAGAAACTTGTAGCATAAAAGAGAATATCTTCTATTTTAAAAGCTGAGGACGTAAGAGAGTCTCAGGCATTCTACTTCAATTCTAAGAATGATTTACGTATAAATGGTCCTCGCTTTTTAAAATAAAGTTATGCATTGATCTCTACTTTCTTCAATCGCTTCTCAGCCTTTTGGGGTAAAATATTTTCAAGAACGGTGGGTTCTGTGTAGGCGGCGATCTCACGGCGGAACCAGCGCGGCAACGGCTACATCTACATCTGTGGCGGCGTGTTGCTGACGTCCAAGTACATCCTCAGTGCCGCCCACTGCTTCACCTGTGGCCACGGGGTCTGGTGAGTGGGCAGTCCTCCTTGTATACCACAGCTTCACTCCTCGTAGATACCACAAAACTTCACAAATATCGCGAATTTTCTAGCGAGAGAGTAGCGAAGTATCTCAGCTTCCTGGCGTGGTAGCTCGGCCAATTTTATAACAGACATATGATGACTCTAAGTTTTTAAAACACAATTGACTAAAAAGGAATCTTTTGCTAAGATTAATTCTTTTATACAAACATATTTCTCAGAATTCTACCACAATAAGGGGAGTCATTTGGAGTAGGTATAGAGAAGAAAGAGAACGCAAAATGTTGAATTTTTCAATTACGGCAATCTACAAACTGTTTTAGTCATATGTTAGAGATTAGAATGAAGAGATGACATGTAGTATCTAGGTCTTATATAATCTTATCAACAGAATGCTGTTCTAGAAGATCTTTAAAGATTTTAGAAAAATTTGTACTGTAAAGGTAGGACTTGTACTTTAAATCCTTTCTCTTACACGTTCCATATGTTTACCAGAAATTTAATAAAGCTAGATATCTTTCAGAAGAGGGCCTCAAAACATTAAGACGAGAATGTTCTTTTACACATAAATCAAATTTCTACTGTCCTCATTGCTATGAACAATTTCATCGCAGTAAGGACAGTATAAATTTGATTTATGTGGGAAAATACATTCACGTCTTAATGTTTTCATTTGCTATAGATCACGTATCCTTAAATCAGGAGATATAGTTCCCGATTTCAAAATATAGATAAAACTAAACCTATTTGTGTGTGAGCATGAAAAAGTAAATTTAGAAGAAAAATGAAGTTACGATGGTTTATGCAGATCCTAGTGCTATACATACAACTACTTGCATGTACGATCCAGCAGTCGCTGCGAGGGTGAAGACCGGGAGACGGGGGAAAAACAACGGCGATACTACGACGGCATACATCACTCTTTTATCTTTTTGAAGATATTCAGAGTTCTTCATTTTCCACATCGGGAATTGAACAACTGGGTGCGTGGGTTAGCTCTCATTATTACGAAACTCAATTCTAAAGTTATCCGCACAGTGTCGCTGCCGAGGCTGGAAAAATAATCGTTGTCATCTATTTATCTCCCCAAATTTCCCCATTAACCCTTTTACTTTTAAATAATCTGTATTTTGTTACTTACCTCCTTTTTGTGTCTGGATGCGATATCTATGGCGAACTAAATAACTTAGTCCCTATTTCTGCTCCGCGCTTATGGAATTGAAGACTTGAGGCGATGGCGTCGACCTTTCATATTAAATCTTACTTTTCCTTATATTACTAATAATTGTATATAGTTGCGGAACTACTGGTTTCCTGTGCTGCTCTTTTCCTGTTATTGCACCTTGTACGGAGAATCTGTATAAGACTAACGTCTTAATAAAGGCTTTGGGTGTGTGTGTGTATTTCGTTACTTTTTATTCTTTTCATCAGAATGTTGATTTTCATTAGAATCTTACCTTGGCAAAAAATAACGCTCAGCGCCAGCCTCACAAGAACTCCGTTTCCCACATAAATCAAATTTATACTCTCCTTACTGCGATGAAATTGTTCATCGCAATAAGAACAGTAGATATTTGATTTATGTGGGAAAGAACATTCGCCTCTTAATGTTTTGATTTACTATATATAGATGGTGCGTTATTGCTTTGTCTATTTTCAAGAAAGAGGAATCAATTTTGATGTATTCAGATTTGCAATAGGTAAGCTGTGCTGATAAGCACCCATAACTTTGATGTTCTAGCAGAATGAAGGAGATGTAAGTTGAAATACAAGGTGGGATCAATAAATAAGGTGAATTATAATTTATTTAAAAAAATAAGAACGATATAAAAAATTAGGACTCGATTTATTCAAAATAATCACCTTAGCTTTCTATACATCGTCTCCATCGTTCTGGCAACTTGTAAATACCCTCTTTATAGGCACTCTTAGGAAGCGTGTGAAAAAAATCTTGCGCCACTTTCTGGACATCTTCATCCGAGTCAAATCGCTTTCCCTTTAACTCCTTCTTTAGTAGTCCAAAAAGGAAATAGTCAGAGGGGGTTAGAAATGGACTATATGCAGGATGTTCTAAAACTTCAAAACCTAATTTAATGATTGTAGATACAGTTTTACATGATGTATGCGGCCTTGCATTATCATGAAGGAAGAGAACACCTTTACTAAGCTTCCTTCTTCTTTTGTTTCTTATACCGGGCTTTAGCTCATTTACAAGAATGTCACAATAAAGGTCGCTGTTCATACGTTGCCTATACTAAATATGGATATTTTTCTATCCTCCAAAATTAAGTTTTCAACCGCATTTATCGTGCTTAGCGTCGCTGTAACACTTGGTCGTCCAGGTCGTTCAATATCGGTACATGTAATTCGTTAATTTTTGAACTCGTTAACCCATTTATAAATGTTTTTTTGAGACAAGCAAGACTCACCATAGATATTTTTCATTCTTTGGCATATTTGAGATGTTTGAATACCTTCTGCATTCAAGAAACGAATAACTGCACGTTGTTCAAGCGTGGTGCAATCCTTCAAGGGAGTTTCCATTTTAGTTTAATTATAAGTCTCGCGCCGCACGTGGGAAAAAAGAACAGAACACCTTAAATAGTCTCTCGATGTTATATTTTAATATTCTGTGGTTTAAATTATTTTTGCCTTTTGAATTTTTAAGAAATAAGATAATTCACCTTATTTATTGATCCCCCCTTGTAATAAAAAGGGTTGTAAAAAAAGAATGATAAAATTTGAGATCAAATTTCTCAGTTGAAATAACTTGGAACAATTCTTAGGATGCTCTGAGAATACAATAGATTATTTAGTTAATTAAATAATTGGATTGAATAAACAAATATTTATTTAAGAAAAAGGCATCTCCTTATCGTGCAACTGAAAGTTGCTGATGGCTTGCGCCATCTATCGGAATAAATATCAACTATTCTCGTTGATTTTTAATTATTCCAGAATTGGCCGAATACCCATTCTTGATTAATCAAGAAAAGCTAACCACGGACGCGTTTCGGGCTGTTGGCCCTCATCAGCGTGGTGCAAGCTGTACCTCAACGACCAAAAAAAAAAAAAAAATTGGTCATTATTTGCCAATATTTCGGTTGACTGAACGCCAACCTTTGTCAAAGTATAACACGTATTATTTTGTATAAACAAACTCAGCGTCACAAAGCATCATTAAATTGCAGTTGAGATAGGTTTTTACTTACCTAATAATTTTTTTTATTCAATCCAATATATTCCTTTTTTAAAAATAAGAACATTAGGCCTCCAAGGAAAGATTTATTTTTTTAATATTTTTAATTTACACTCACGCACAAATCTCTCAAGCTTTCAGGCAAGAAAATTTTCTCCTGTAGAAAGGCTTTCTTGTCTGAAAGCTTGAGAGATTTGTAAATTAAAAATATTTAAAAAATAAAATTTTCCTTGGAGGCCTAATGTTCTTATTTTATATTGATTCAAGGGATTATTTTATCGAATATGCCTTTTTATTATCTAAATATTTAAGTATGGATTGCTCTATTTTCAAACTAATATGTTATTTTCAAATAATGCTCTTTAGCCTCGAAAGGTTTCATATATTTGCTACTAAAAAACCGTTTTAATTGACTTTACAAAATCAATACTATTGTGTTCAATATAAAAAGGAGGTCTCTTGATCAATGCGTTGCTTTATTTGATACTGACTTGTTTGATTTTGAGTCTGACGAAGAGCATTGGATCTCGAAGACTTGCTACTTAGTATTCATATAAGGCGCAATCCACTTTTATATTTCAACCTGTTGTATAAATTTGCATAGTTTTTTAAGAGAAATGACTAATATAAATTTATAAATTAAAATATACAAGTATCAGAGTCATCAATCAATTCTTAATTCTGTCACCGTTTGCTTTTGTGAATGGAATAAATACCCAAATATGGCCATTTCTCATAAGCATCGATGGTTCAGCGGTAAAATGCTCGCCCTTCACGCGGGCGGCCCGGGTTCGATTCCCGGCCGATGCATATTTTTTTCTTTTACAATTTTTAAAACTCATTTATATATTATACAAGAATGACATCCACGGCGCCAATTTATAATTGTAACGAATAGTATTTGAATAAAATCATTTAATCGGGTAAAACCCGGGCGTTGCCCGGGTCATTCGGCTAGTACAATTATATAATTGATTTCTTATCATCAAAGAATGGCTTCTGGCATTTCATTCTTTTACGTTGATGCACCATAATGGTGAAAATTAAGTATCAAGAAATAGAATTGAAAGAATATTCGTATCGTAAGACTATATTTTGATAATGTCCTCTCTCTCTCTCTCTCTCGAAGTTTTGATACATTGAGTCACTTTCCTCTAATTTATCATCTGTTGATTACATGGGATGTTTGGCAAGAGATTTCTGGTGAGTCAGGGTGGTTCCCCTCTCTCGTCCATTATCTCTCGCTTGTACCATCTTGACCATCTCTGTGTGTCGACAGCTCGGCCTCCCTGTACCGAGTGCGGCTGGGGTCCCACGACCGAGAGACCGGTGGAGCCAATCTAGGCCTCAACTCGCTGCGGCTACACGAGTCGTACGACGTGGCACGAGGTGACAACGACATCGCCCTGCTGCGGCTGGAGGAGATGGTGCAGTTCTCCACACTGCTGTCGCCCGTGTGTCTACCGCCCGTGTCGTTGGCATACGACGACCTTTCTGGTCGCAACGGCACCGTCATCGGCTGGGGCCACACCTCGGCCTGTGAGTCTTCCGATAGTCCTTGGTTCTATCTGAGTGTAGCTATAGTTAGACATCTTTCAACCGCTCTTCATTCTACCTGAATAAGTGGCTGAGTTTAGCTTTAGCTAGACAGACATCTTCAAATAGCTCTTCGTATAGACCTTCTTACTTAAGCTGAAATATTTCTCTGGTGTAGACCTATATACACTCGACTATCGAGAACTTTATGCCCTCTCCAGAAATCCCTCAAATTTCAAAAATAGCGTAGTACCCTCTACATATGATGAAAGATTTATCTCCCTCTCTAGATTTACGCAATTAAATGAAATGCTTCTCTAAGCTAACTCCATTAGGTGAAATGTCTTCAATAAAACTATGTTGATATTTACTACTTAGTATTTCCCCCTATCATTTCATTCAAGACGGACTCTTTGCACCATTATACGAATAATGAAAGCTATTGAGAGAGCATGGCTTGTCAATGTCGAAATCTTCCTAACAATTTTGATCCTTGAATCTACCAGACTGATGTAACTACTGATTTAATTTTCTGTTTCTACAGTCGGCACTATATGGCTGTTCTTTGTCATGGATTGAGATGATGAAGCTATGAAGTTATGCTTCTGTGGTTGACGATTTGGCTTTGTGGGCAACTTTGAGCACACTTCTTGAGTTCCAAATGACAATTTTTCACCGCTATGGGCAAGTCGTTTGTCGCTACTCTTGTATTAAGAAAAGAATACTATTTCCGTGTCAAGTGACAATCTTAAGGAAATGTTCGTGTGTGCAGGGAGCGGTTCCAGCAAGTTCCTCAACCAGGTATCGCTACCCATCATCGCCATGAACGACTGCAGCGCGGCCTATCGGGGAGGTGGAACGGCGCTCTTCCCGCATGACCACCTGGACAGCATGCTGTGTGCTGGCCGCATGAATGACGGGCGGGACTCTTGCCAGGTCAGTCACTCGCTACTTCACTGCTGTCTCGTATCTTCAATAAATATCTGCTCGTTGGACTGTTGCATGATGTCTCTGACATAACTCTTGACAAAAATTGAAATTATAGAATCTATTTGGCCACACTGCTGGTTAAAAATCACGAGTATGAGCGCTTAGCATTCTAGTTTTATATCATGAAACATTCACATACACACCCTCATTTGGTTGTCTAATTTTGATTTTACAATTGAGTATATGAGGTGTGCAAGACATACGAGGTGTGTTCAAAAAATATCGCGACTTTTGAATTTTCGCGGGTTACGTATATTCGAATTTCGATCTTTTTGTGGCTTTATGTTGGTACTCATGTCATTCACTTATGCCGACAAGCTCGGCCATTTTGAATGTTCACTTAATTGTTGACAGCTGCTTTGCTTGCAGGTGTTTTGGATCGTCTTCGATTTTTACCTATTAAAAAAATGGATCAAAGAACCTTATCATATTTTGTGTGTGAAAAACGAAATTAAGTGCGTGGACGCATTCCGAATATTGACTGTGGCATACGGAGAAGCTACTTTGGACCGAAGCAACGTTTATCGGTGGTAAAAAATGTTCTCAGATGGCCGAGAAGATGTGAACGACGAAGAGCGTGCCGGACGCCCGAGCACTTCAACAACAGACGAAAATATTAATGAAGTGGAGAAAATGATATTGGCCAATCGTCGAACCACCGTTAGAGAAATTGCTGAGGACCTAAACATATCGATTGGTCCGTGCCATTCGATTTTTATCAATGATTTGGGTATGAGACGGGTCGCCGCGAAATTCGTACCAAAATTGCTCAATTGCGACCAAAAACAGCATCGCATGAACATTGCTAATGAGATGTTGGACTCTGTCCGCGACGACCCAAATTTGCTCCAGAGGGTCATAACTGGTGACGAAGCGTGGGTTTATGGTTATGACGTGGAAACCAAAGCTCAATCATCTCAATGGAAGCTGCCGCACGAACTAAGACCGAAAAAAGCGCGCCAAGTTCGGTCGAATGTGAAAGTTTTGCTGACAGTTTTCTTCGATTGCAGGGGCGTGGTGCATCATGAGTTCTTGCCACAGGGTAGAACGGTCAATAAGGAATATTACCTGCAAGTTATGCGCAATTTGCGCGAAGCAATCCGCCAGAAACGCCTGGATTTGTGGAAGAACAAAATTTGGCTTTTGCACCACGATAACGCTCCTGCTCACACATTGTGCGCGACTTTTTGGCCAAAAACAACACACTAATGATGCCGCAACCACCGTATTCCCCAGATCTGGCCCCCTGTGACTTTTTCTTGTTCACTAAACTGAATAGGCCCATGAAAGGACGACGTTACGCTACGCTTGACGAGATAAAGACGGCATCGAAGGAGGAGTTGAAAAAGATTTTTAAAAATGATTTTTGAAGTGCTTCGAAGATTGGAAAAACCGTTGGCACAAGTGTATAATATCTCATGGTGATTACTTTGAAGGGGACAAAATAGGTATTCATGAATAAATAAATAATTTTTGAAAAAACACAAAGGTCGCGATACTTTTTGAACACACCTCGTATGCCTCATAAATGCAAACGAAACATTAAAATACTACGGGAGGCATTCTGTAAAGAATATTTTGAAAAATCTGCCTCATGTATTTGGAAAATTTCTTTCAATTTGAAAAGGGTAGATATTCAGTAGAAGGTGATAAGCATATTAGACGTTAATTCCTTAGCGGGAAACTTTTTAAAAAATCTTATTAATCAACCAGGCGCGATATTTTGGGGGGAAGTGTATTTAATTTTTCTTTTTATATTTTCAAAAATGAAAATTCAACGTACTTATCTTCTAAATATTTCACGTTGATTTATAATAATTGCCTTATATCACTTGTACTAAAGTGCAATTCTTATTTAACCTTTATAACGCTGTATATAAATGTAAAATACTTATATTGGGAGTATAGATAAAGATGGCGCTACTAGTTTATTATTCCATCGTTTCATCTGGCAACACCATTATTTTGAAGCGTCATCATAAGGCTTCTTTTTTTCAGTAACCGTCATTTCTCTGAAGTGTAAACAACCTATTAATATATTCAGAAAATATTTTAGAATCTATTTTTTATATAGAATAACTATGAATATTTAAGGCTGTCTTAACTATTTTTGATCATTTCTGCGCTCCTTGTGAACATTAATTAACTTCCAACACTATCGAGTTTATTGAAAGTTTCGTGTATGTACGAATCCTGGTATTGTAAGGACACTCCACAAATACCCATTCTCAACCGTTTCTTACAGTGCGGCGTGTGATCCAGGGGGACTCCGGCGGACCCCTCGTCCTGCGTAACTCCAACAACCGCTGGACTGTAGTGGGCATCGTGTCATTCGGACCCTCCATCTGCGGATCTACAGGTTTCCCCGGAGTCTACACCCGCGTGGCCTACTATATGGACTGGATCAAGAAAAATCTCCGCACACTATAGCCCCTCTCTTCTAGCTAGAATTGATTCCCTGATCACGCATTCCTTTTATTTATTATTATTTCTTCTAATCAAGAAGATACTCTTGTTTTCTTGTTGAGATTCTCTCTATTTCCATGTTGCGAAGTCCAAGATATATATTGCTCAAGTTGTTAAATACCAGTTTATTAGAGGTGCCCCTCCTTAATGAAAGTTTTCTGATTCAAAAGTGATCATAGGATGCAATGGCTTAAAAGGTCGCGAAGAGAAGAGACATGCAGTCGTGAGTGGATAGAAGTAGTGTTGGGATGAGAGACAAAGTATGGATGATAGAGTATTATGGTGGCTTAGGGCAAGTATTCTCTTTTCTGTAATGTAATTATACACTCATGTTGTTTGCCATTAGATCCTGGTATATTAATGTGTCTCTGTGATGTTTCTAGAAATTTAGCTATTATACTTAATTCCATATCTCGCGTGATAGAGCTAAAGACAAGATATTGTCTTCAGTCATAAACTAATTCCTACACTATAATAATCTCATTGGATATTCCTCAAATATATTCTTAGAATCTTTTAGCTTTTCGGGAGCCTCTTTAAAATTCGATGACAACATAATGTATGTATTTTAAGGACTGATAATTGAATGCATGTTTTGAGTAGAAAGTGGCTGAATGTCTGATTATCAAAGATAGCTAATATACATGCTACAGAATAGATCAATGGGCTATAGATGCACTATTTAATGAGGCTATCAGAGGCGATATTAGACAGAATAGTTAGTTATTGTGGAGAAAATACGGTCGTTCAGATGGCTTTTGACCATGTTTAACAGTTGTGTGCCAAGATACTTGACACTAAGGAATATTTGCTAGTGT